AAGGATGTTATAACAACAATTAAAAATACAGTTAACTAGCTCAGGAGCCCTGGTGGTGCAGTGGTTACCTATTGAGCTACTAACTGCAAGGTCAGCAGTTTGAAACCACCAGCTGCTCCACAGGAGAAAACTGGGCTTATAACTCCCATAAAGAGTTACAGTCTTGGAAACCCACAGGGCCACTTCTACCCTGTTCAATAGGGTTGGTATTAGTTGGTATTGACTCGATAAGCAGTGATTTTGTTTTTCAAGCAAGCGCATCAAACTACAGGGTAAAGCCAAAGAAAGAATCTATAAGTTTGAAAATATGTTGAGAAAATTTCAAAATGTAGCATATGGAATATCCCAAAATTGTGGGATAGCAATAATGGTGGGTCACCCTCACATTGAGGACACCAAAAAGGGAAGCAGCAGACATAAACACAAGAAATACGTTAAGTAATAATGAATGTGAAATTTGGAACATTACTGACTCATAGTAAACCAAAGTTTGTAGAAGTTCATGGAATCCCATAGATGCTACATCTAGTGGTATCATAGTCAAAACTAGCACAAAAATTGGTGAGGAAATAGTGAAAGTTAAGAGGGAGTGGACCACCAGGCCCTGAGGATGATATTCCTGCTCAGACGCCAATACACGGACAGGACCACAGGGCTGGCCCGAACATGAGACACAATGTCCCTCACTGACCCAAAGCGCTACGGGGGACAACACTGGAGACACATGGGAATTGTGCCTGATCTGACCCCATCACACCAGGGTAAAACACTAAGGGCACGCAACAGAGCAGCAAAGGGAGCAATGTAATGAAATCCCTAGGGAATACCAAAATAGACTTTGGGGCCAGGGCATAGCACACCATCAGACTCAAGAAGAAAACACTCCTAAAAGTCAACAAACTATCTATAGGCTTTTCTTTTTTTGTTGTCGTTTTGACTTGTTTTTGCACTTATTATTGTATCTGCATGTGGACCTTGTGGCCCACAACCTGATTGGACAGATCACTAAAAAGGCAAATAAACTGCATGGAACCTGTATGACTGTTGGAATAGGCAAATAATGTTTATTGAACTCTAAAAGTCAGATTGCTCCTTAGAGACAAGAATGGGGAGACTTCACCTCATGCTTAGGACATGTCAGGCGACACCAGTCCCTGGAGAAGGAGATCATGCTTCCTAAACTAGAAGCTTTCCACATAACGAGGCAGTGTTTTGTTCTTTTGTGTATAGGGTCACTATGGGTCAGAACAGAGTCAATGGTACCTAACAATCAAAGTGGAGATATGGCCACTTTGCCAACCTGTTGGACCTAAGGACAACCCCACAAACACCATCAAGAAGGAAGAAGCAGACCTAGAGCACATCTTTAGACTCAGGTTTCCTAGAACCAGAAGAACAAGACAAGGGTGATATTGGAGACAGTGCGAAGGAAGGGAGCTACAATGGGCATGCCAACTCACAAAAGAACCAAGTGCCTGCTAGTAGCCTAGGGGGTCTCTGAGAACATACCTGCAGAGCTAAAGAGCTTTGAAACATGTTGGAGAATGGTGAAAGTATACTTGTAGGCATGACTGAGAAGCTTTCTTTACTGAAGAACTGTATTCTGAGATATCCCTGATAATAAAGTATAACCATTTGCTCTTGTTAGCTGCTACCGGGTTATAGTGACCCATGCACAACAGAAACACTGCCAGTTCTGCAACATCCTCACAAATGTCCCCATGCCTGAGCCCACTGCCGTGGTCACTGTGTCTATTGAGGGCCTTCTTTCTCCACTGCCCCTCTGCTTTACCAGGCACGATGTCCTTGTTGAGGGGTTGGTCTCTCCTGACATGTCCAAAGTATTAGAAAGGATTTATTTTAGACGGTCTTGCCACCCTTGTTTCTAAGTAACATTCTGGCTCTACTTCTTCCAAAACAGATCAGTTTGTCCTTTTAGCAGTCCACGGTACTTTTCAATATTCTTCTGTCAGCACAATTCAAACGCATGGATTCTTCTTTGGTCTTCCTTATTCAATGTCCAACTTTCACAAGCTTATCAGGCAATTGAAAAGACCACATATTGGTATATGTAAAGATATACTTTATTCCTCAAAGTAACATCCTTACAATCCAATACTTTAAAGTTTGTGCAGATTTACCTAATACAGTGTCTTGCATTGATTATAGATACAAGACAAAATCCTTGACAACTTCAATCATTTCTCTATTTACCATGCTATTATCTATTGGCCTTGTGGATCTCTTCCAGTCAGGTGATCAAGTAGCTGTCCTCTAAATTTCTTGGCGTAGACAAGTAAGTGCTTCCAGGGCTTCATCAGCCTGTTGAAACATTTCAACTGGTATACCAGCAATGTTTACTATTTCCCTAATAAACCCTCATAACGATGAGCATAGACTTTGTGGGCATTACACCGATTTCTCAAATCAAGCAGGGAAGTGCAGTGTAGTGAGGGGAATGTGGTTTGAATTGAAAAATGGTAGAATGTATGCTTGACACACTCCTTTTAAGCAAAACTTTGGTCTAGTGATCGTCATTCTATGCCTTACCCTTGTGAAGTTAGAGGAGGTACAATACTATAGCACTATTGTTACAGGGACCATCCTCCTTGATTGCTGGTGGAGGTGATAAATAGTACAGCAGCGGCGGAGAGGCTTGACCAGCAGTTCCTCAAAAACTGGTGCCACAATATGACCCAGCAATTCCAATCATGGAAAATACCCCTATGTACTAAAAGCAAAAAACAAAACAGGAATCGGTACATCAATATTCATCAGAGCCCTATTCTTTTTTTTAAGTTTTATTGACATAAAATCCACATACTATACAGCTCAGTGGCATAAATATATTACAACATTTTAAAATCACAACAACCCATATTAGAACATTTCTTTCATTTTGGTACTCATTACTTCTCATGCATCCCCAACATCTGTTGTCATAACCCTAAGAAACTATTAATCTCGCTACTATCTCTATAGATTTGCCTATCATGTATTTCATAGAATTTAAAGCATATAAAAAGCCACCCCAAAATATCAAAATAAAGCACCGATAGACCCCTAAACCAAAGGAAAGCAAAAAATAATAAACTAGAATTAAAAAATGGATCAGAAAACACATGTTAGATTTTAACATAACTCTATCTACATTAATTCACTTTCCAATGCACTGTCTGAGTACGAGGCTACTCACCACCTTGGCAATGGACCAAGGGAAGTCTTAATTCGTGTGAGGAGTCTGCAATCAGATTTTGGTTATTCGCAGCTTTCTACAAGCCAGTTGCTTAGAATTTAAGCTCTCACACAATTTCATCCTCTGATCTTGGATATTGTTATTTACAACCTTTGAGCATACAGCCTCATGTGCATTCATATACTACTAGAGGTGTTTTAAAGCAGAGACTTAAGTCCACCAATGGAATTCATTAATATATATTACTGAACTCATTATTATATATGTTACTTCTTTTATTACTTAATTTTCTGGGTTAAACTAATGGAAGTGAATCTTTATACATTTAGCTATTCTAATTCAGATGACAATTCTACGTTCAAAACTGTTGTTTCAGTTTCCTCAAACATGTATGTTGGTCTCATTTTTTGTCTTATAGCTTTTACTGTATTCATATGTGATATCCATGATGTCGTCTCATAATCTGACTGGTCTATAATTTTCAATATTTTAAAGTGTCCAATGTATTGAGGTGGTCTGTTAACTTAGGTAGGATATACTCAAGGACTTGTTTTAATTTACTTCATCTTCAATATCAGCAATTAATAACCTGTTCTAGAGGCCTTGTTGTATTTAGTGATATTGAGATGGCTTTTTGTAGAGGTGGCTGATTTGATTTCCTGTGTATTCCATCGGGCAAGATTCACATAAATATAGACATGTGTGTTGTTAACTGCTATTTTCAAGTAAGTAGTCATGAGTGCTGTAAAATCGCATCATGTGACCTGGCACATCATTCTGATCACCAAGCTCTTATTTCCAAACTACCAATTTTTTGTTTCCAACTTTTATAATCCACTGGCCACTAATTATCATTTTATCTTGTTAATATGTATGATCAGTCTCAGGCTACAAAAGTTGGTAAAAAAAATTAATTTCCTCATCTTTAGAATTAGAGGTTGAGCAAGTTTCAATACATTTTTTAACTGAACTTGTGGGTATGTCGATACTAGACTATAAATAATAGTGTTTTATTTCTTCTACATAAAGATACACCTTAAAATGTACATTTTTGATGATAAATGTGATGTCATTCCTCTTCAATTTGTCATTCAGAGCACAGATCATATATTGTATGATTTGATTGCCAATGCCTGGTCATTTCAATATATTGAAGCCTTCAACATAGATCTGCATATGTTCCATTTCATTTAGGATAAATTCTAATTTCATTGGTTTGTATTTCATATGTTCCAAGTTCTGGTTAGTTTTTTAGACAAGACCTGTTAAACATCTGAGGGCTATTTGATCACAAAGATTAAAATCTTTGAATTTTTCAGGTGCATTGCATGAGAAACCCATGAGGACAAGGCAGTTATCTTTACTCTTTGCATCCCTTAACCACTGTCCTTCCAAGGTAGACAGGTAGGTTAACCACTGTCCTTCCAAGGTAGACAGGTAGGTTCTCCCTGTGTTAGGAACCTGCCATGTCACTTGTCAGTGTTTTGAACCGTGGTGGCTTGCATATTGTTATGTTTTTGGAAGTTATGTCACTGATGTTTCAAACACTGACAGGGTAAACAAATGTGAACAGAATTCAGCAAAGATGAATGGTGTCACATTCCTGATGAAAAAGGACATTTCAAGATCTAACTTGAAGTACAAGACTGTCTGTAAAAGGTTAATTTCCATACACAGAACATGGTATCTAATGAATAAAAACATTATTCAAATTTAGGCAGCAAACACTAAAACCAGTCGTAAGGACATAGTGTATTATTGACCATTCAATGGCATTCAACTGGGTAGGCATACAACTGGGGGAGCTGGACTATATGAAAAAGAACATGGTACCAGGATTGGAAGGAGGCTTACTAACAGCCTGAAATATGCAGACAACACAACCTTGCTTGTTTGCTTAAAGCAAGGATTTGAAACAATTGCTAATGAAAGTTAAGGCTGCAGTATTAAAAACAAATAGTAACCCAATGGAAAGTAAACAACCATCACAACTGGGAAAATAAACAGACAAATGGGTAGGAGTGAGATTGTGAAGGATTTCATTTTTGACATACATAGAAACATCAAGAAATCAAATAAATCACTGCATTCATTGGGCAAAGCTACTGCAAATGACTTCTTTAAAGTGTTAAAGAGCAAAGATATGCTTTGAGGACTCTGTGTGCCTTAGATGAATGTGAATATCTAAACACATATATTTGAAAACAGCAAAACATTTGTGTTGACGACAATAGCCTGAGAATTAACTACCTTAAAGCTATTTTTTTAGAAATAGTCCTTGGAAAGAAATAAAGTTCTTTGAGGTCAGTGCAAAATTCAAATTATGAGTTGATATTGACATGATACGGGAATAAAACAAACAAACTCAGGGTACTGGAAATTTCAAGATTTAAATACTTGTTTTCATATTTTTTAATTCTAAGAAATGGATGCACTACATATGTTTCTTAAAATTAAAAAAACAAAACCAACTTTAAAAAGCCTAATCAGGACCATAAGGTTATTATTTCCCATTAACATTACCCACTAAAATGTCTTCAAATTTAATCTTGTTTGATGAGAAGAATGAGCAGACGCATTTTTCTGGTGGAGAATGACTCTCAAGTGTAGCCTTTTCAGGCTGATTTCTTTGGGGCATTATCCCCATAAGCTTCTCATAAAGCATCAATTTCACCATTCACCAACCTAATATTCAACATAAATTTGTTGCTTGTTGTTTCAGTTTCAGAATTTGTTTGTCATAAAGTTATTTTAAAGATGGGATTTTACTTTTAATAGTGCCTCTAACTATATCATCATATTCAGGAAGGTAATCACAAGTTAGAATGACCTTATTTTGCTACAATAAAAATTTGAAACCCAAACATCATTTTTCCATATAATATTTTCCATACGTTTTGTGTAGAAGACCGCCACATTTTAGTTCAATACTAGTGGATTTATTTTAGTCTTTGGAAGGAGCTAAGTGGCACAGACCCAGCAGTGTTTTGACTGTACGATTACTTTTTGACAGTTCTTGTTTCTCTCCGTGGCTGTGTGGAATAAGAAAAAATTTAAAAAGGAAAAAGTAGCTTTGTCTAATCTTAATTAACAGGTCCTAGACGACATAAGGTAAAGACTTCCCTATTACATTCATAAAGCCTTTCTGCAATGTGAGTGATTATATTGAGAGGGGAGGAAGACAACTAACAGTTTTGTGATATACAGCTCTGATACATTCACAGAGCCTCTCTCCATTGTGAATTCCTGTTAACTGAGAGCCAAAGGACAACCGAACGCTGTCACATATTTCTTACTCATAGGGACTTTCTCCACTGTGAGGTCTTACCTAAGCGCTCAAGGGTGACGAACATTGGAAGTCTTTTACACTTTGCTGACATAAAGGCTCGTTCATGTGATTACGACTTTTATGTCGAGTGAGATTTGAGGCTTCACAAAAGGTCTTCCCACCCTCCCTACATTAATAGGGCCTCTCTCCTCTGTGAGTTCTTATATGAGTGTTCAGGTTTGAGGAACAACTAAAGGCCTTCCCACATTCCTTACATTCATAGGGCCTTTCTCCACTGTGAGTTTTTATGTGAGTGCTGAGGTTTGAGGAAGAAGTAAAGGCTTTCCCACATTCCTGACATTCATAGGGCCTCTCGCCACTGTGAGTCCTTATATGCTTGGTAAGGGTTGAAGGATCACTAAAGGCTTTCCCACATTCCTTACATTCATAAGGTCTTTCTCCACTGTGAGTTCGTATATGTTTAGTGAGTGTGGAAGAATCACTAAATGCTTTCCCACATTCCTGACATTTATAAGGTCTCTCTCCACTGTGATTTCTTCTTATATGTACAGTGAGATTGGAGGCTTGACTAAAGGCTTTCCCACATTCTTTACATTCATAAGGCCGTTCTCCACTATGAGTTCTTATGTGAGTGGTGAGGTATGTGGAACACTTAAAGGCTTTTCCACATTGCTTACATTCATAAAGCCTCTTTGCCATATGAGTTCTTCTTATATGTCTAGAGAGATTTAAGGTTGCACTAAAGATCTTTCCACAATGCTTACATTCAAAAGACCTCTCTCCACCATGAGTTCTTATATGAGTGGTGAGATGTGTGGAACATTTAAAGGTTTGCCCACATTGCTTACATTCATAAAGCCTGTCTTCTATGTGAGTATTTCTTATATGTTTAGTGAGATTTGATGCTTCACTAAAGGCTTTCCCACATTCTTTACATTCGTAAGGCTTTTCACCACTGTGAGTTTTTAGATGAGTACGGAGGTTTGAGGAATAAGCAAAGGCTCTCCCACATTCCTTACATTCATAAGGCCTTTCTCCACTGTGACTCCGTATATGTTTCGCTAGGGTTGAGGAATCACTAAATGCTCTCTCACATTCCTTACATTCATAGGGCTTCTCTCCACTGTGAGTTCTTAAATGTTTAGTGAGAGTGGAAGAATCACTAAATGCTTTCCCACATTCCTTACATGCATAGGGCCTCTCTCCACTGTGATGCCTTCTTACATGTGAGGTCAGATTTGAGGCTTGACTAAAGGCTTTCCCACACTCTTTACATTCATAGGGCCTCTCTCCACTATGGGTTCTAATATGAGTGATGAGATAAGTGGAACACTTAAAGGCCTTCCCACATTCCTTACATTCATAGGGCCTTTCACCACTGTGAGTTTTTGAATGAGTGCTCAGGTTTGAGGAATATTTAAAGGCTTTCCCATATTGCTTACATTCATACAGCTTCCGTTTGCTGTGAGTTCTTATATGTCTAGTGAGAAATAAGGCTTCACTAAAGACCTTCCCACATTCCTTACATTCATAGGGCCTCTCTTCACTGTGAGTTTTTATATGAATACTGAGGCGTGAGGAACATTTAAAGGCTTTTCCACATTGCTTACATTCATAAGGCTTATCTTCTACATCAGTACTTATTTGTCTAGTGGATTTTGAGGTTTCACTAGAGGCCTTTCCACATTCCTTACACTTACAAAGCTTTTCTCCACTGTGAGTTTTTATATGAGTGTTGAGGGTTGAGGAACAAGTAAAAGCTTTCCCACATTCTTTACATTCATAAGGCCTCTCTAGACTGTGAGTTCTAATATGCCTGGTGAGGGCTGAGGAATCACTAAATGCTTTCGCACATTCTTGACATTCATAGGGCCTCTCTCCACTGTGAGTTCTTAGATGTCTAGTGAGGGTGGAGGAGTCACTAAATGCTTTCCCACATTCCTTACATTCATAGGGCCTCTCTCCACTGTGAGTTCTTATATGTCTTGAGAGAGTAGAGGAATCACTAAATGCTTTCCCACAGTCCTGGCATGTATAGGGCCTTTCGCCACTGTGAATTCTTCTTATATGTGTAGTGAGATATGAACTTCGACTGAAGGATTTCCCACATTCTTTACATTCAAAGGGCCTCTCACCACTGTGAGTTCTTATATGAGTGGTGAGGGTTGAGGAGCATTTAAAGGTTTTCCCACATTCCTTACATTCATACAGACTTTTTCCAATGTGAGTTCTTATGTCTTTAATAGAGAAATCACTAGAGTGACGACTACTTTCATTACACTCATAGGGCATTTCTCTATTGGGCATTTGCATATGTCTAGTGAGGGCAGGGGGACAAACAGTGGCTTTCCTATAATCCTTACATTTATAAGGGATGTCAATACTGTTTTCTGTTTTCTGTACACTGAAGGCTGAGGAATAGCTTACAGGATTTTCAAATAGCTTACAATCAGTATCCACATATCTTCTATCAACATTTTTATGTGAACTGTGGGATAATGACTTATAAGTGTTACCACATTCTTCATTTGTATGACCATTCAAATGTGCTTCAAATAATGAGAAACAGAAACATTTACCACATCTAGGGCATTCATAGAGTTTTTCTCTATTGTGTGATATCACAGGCGTCTTAAAAATAGGGGTATCATTGAAGTCTTTCCCATAGGTGTGACATTTATGGAGTATATTCTCATTAAGTGTTCTCAGAGGAGTGGTTGGGTGAGAGAGGCAACTGAAGGTTTCTCCACATTCTTTATATTGACAGGCATTGCATCCACTGTCAGATGTGCTACCTTTCTTATGTGATGGATGATCCATGGAGGTTTTTCCACATTGAAAGTATTCAAAAGGATCCACTGCTGAAGGGTTTCTCTTAAGGAAAGTAACATTTGGACTCTGCTTGGTGATTTCTCCACACTGATTGCCTTCATTACTGTCACAGAAGTTCTCTAATGTATTACTTCTGTGAAAAATAGATTAACAAGCTTTTAGAAATGAACATACTTATTTTACCATTATCAAAAACAGTAAGTACAAAAGTATCTTATGTTAAATCATGTAGCAGAAAGACTATTATGACTGCCACTGTTTCTAAAGCATGCAACTTTCTCATAGTTAACACCAAGTTAACAATGTTTTACACATTTAATATTGGGACTAACATTTAAGAAAATACTGAACAGAAAATTGATGGTGGTGGTGGTTATAATACTCTTAGTATGGCAATATAATTGAATTGTACATATGAATACGAATTAATGTGAATAAAACTGTCTTAAACAAAGAAAAAAATGCTGCATCTCTCTATATATGTTTCTATTAAGTATTTCAAATCAGTTCTAGTCCATAAACACCCTGTCCAATCCTGCACCATCCTCACAATTGTTCCTGTGCCTGAATCCACTGTTGTAGACACTGTGTCAATCCATAATGCTGTGCGTCTTTCACTTTACTAATAATGCTATCGTCTAGAGATTGGTCTCTGCTGACAATATTTCTAAAGTCTGTAAGACGAAGCCTTTCCATCCTTGCCTCCAAGGAGCACTCTGTTCATACTTCTCCCAAGACACATTGGTATGTCCATTTAGCAGTTCACGGTATTTTTAAAAATTCTTCTCCAGCACCACAATTCAAATGCGTTTCTTTATTCAATCTCCATTTTTCACATGCATGAGGTGATGGAAATACTATGGCTTGGTTAGGCTCACTTTAGTCCTCAGAGTAACATCCTTGCTTTTCAATACTCTATGGATTTAAGTGCAAGGGGAAAGCGGCTCTGTTCCTGTGGGGATGTGGAGTCCAACCCAAGACTGCTTTTCAGAGGTTTGAGAGTACAGGACTCAAGTAGGGTTGGCCCATGCTAAATTGTACTCGCAATCCCAAACTGAATTTGTATTTCCAACCAGGACCAAATGCCTGGCCCCTTATGTCAGAGATTCTCTGGCCAGGAAGATGTAGCCTGCCACAAAGTAACCAAGCTAAGTGTCCGTGGAACATTACTTTAAAAGCCCTGTTTATGAGGAACCCTTTCATTGTCTTGAGTATTAGCTGTGCTAGGACTGGGCAAGTTCTCAGAAAATTCGGAGTACTTTCCAACTACTGTTCTTTTACGCCTTTGTTTCCTGTTCTTGCATTCTACTCACCAATAATTATCAGTGCATCTTATTATATGTTTGATCAACTTCCAACTAAAATTGCTGGCAGAATTCTTCAATTTCTTCACTAGATTTTGAGGCTCTTGCAAATTTGCATAATTGTTGTATTGATTAGATTAACTTGCAAATAGATATCATCCCATCACAGACAGTACTGTACTTAATGATTCCTTTTGTAATGCCCTTTTAGACAATAAAGGCTATGCCAGTCCTCTTGAAAGTACCTTATATACTTGAGTATAAGCCAAACCAAATATCAGCAGAGGCACCTAATTTTACCACAAAAACTGCATTAAAAATGTGCTGGAAAAACTTGGCTTATATTTGAGTATATATGGTACTGTTTTCCCAGCATAATAAATTATATGATTTTCTGATTCAAAATGGCTAATACCAGTGCATAACAGCTCACCAATGACTAGGATATTGATCTTTAATTTATGATTACCATTTCATTTCTGACCACTCCAATTTTCCTAGATTCGTATTTTGCACATTCCAAGTTCCAATCCATAGCACATTTTGTAGTCATTCCCCCTTACTCTGAGTAGTTCCACATCAGCAAATGAAGATCCTGAAGTCTCCACTCCCACAAGGCTTCCCCAACTCACATCACTATGGTTGATTCCACTCTAAGAAAGCACCTCCTCCTGAGTCTCACGTTCTAAGTACCCTACCTAGGGGCCCATCCTCCAGCACTATGTCCTACAATGCTCTCCTTCCATTCTTCAGGGCTTCATCATCTGACAACTTTTTTGAAGCTATACATAAGGTTTTCAGCAACTTTTTTTTTGAAGCTATACATAAGGTTTTCAGCGACTCAGGAAATAAGTCCTTCTTCATTGTTTGTACTTAGTCTGGATGCGCCATTGAAACCTATTCACTTTGGGTGAGCCTGCTAGCATTTGAAATGCCAGTATGCAACCACACACTGGCAAATTCTGGGTGAGTGTATTTAAGCTCTCTATCTTTCTACGACCTTTCCAGTGTCCTCGTTTTCAAAATCGCAGCGCTAAGTCAGACAACTCAGCACCTCGGGCACGGGGGCACTTAGTGGGGCATGCCTTCCTGGCCTGCCACTCCACCTATCTTGGGTCTGATGGGTTCACTGAGGACACTCTGAATTTGTTAAACATTTTGGGAGGTCAAATTTCACTCACTCCACCTTGTACGCAGTCTAAACCACCACAAAGTTCACCTTTGGATTGCTTAATAGCAAACCTAGAACTGCTGGGTTTTAAGTCAATTATTGAACAAGAATGTGATACTTTTTTTTTTTTTTTGGAATGTGATACTTTTATGCAACAAAATCTGACTACAGTACAGAGTGGACAATAACTCAAAATGGCCAAAAGGTGGCCCTTTCCATGTAAAAATCCTCCAGGACCTCAATTTCTGCCAGCTTAAAAGGTTTTTAGAAATGTACTATTTACAGGCTTTCTTTCTCCTTCATTCCCACCCACATCTATGTCAAGATTTCCTGCTGATTTTGGAAAAAATTCCCTTCCTAGGCAATGAATCCACCTTGAACCATTCTGATCACGCTTCACTGCCTGCAACCCTGCCTGTCCTCACTGACCTCCTCCATAGGCACCAGCCTTCTATCCTCCTTTTACAAAGCCCTTCCTGCCTCGCCCCAAATTCCTTCAGCTGCTTCCACCACCTCCCTGTCAACATTACTCTGCTGACTGGCCCCCTCAACACTCCCACTTTTCCCTCTCACCAACTCCCCTCCCATTGACACCATCTTCTGAGCAATCTGACACCACTCCTCTACTGACTTTGTCTCTGCCCCTTGCCTGTTCATGTTCAACCATTTCCAAATGAAAGGCTGCTTCTATTTACCCGCAATTCCACTTTCAGACCCTGTTCCCATTTGTCCTCTCCGAGAGGTCCGAAGACAGGGAGAGTCTGGATAGCAGGGTAAGAGAGGCGATGAAACCGAGATAAACCAGTGGGCTCCAATGCTGTTCCGTGAGTAGACCCTAACTGGAAATATCAGCTGGGCCATGGGGACTGCACTCTCTAAGATGACATGATTATTCACCTCATGGAGGGTGTAAAGAAAAACAGCCAAGAGGCAGTCAATAAGGACAAAATTAGAGAACTCTTTCAGGACCCAAAAGAAAATCCTGCCCAAATTTTTCATGCCTTTTAGAGGCTTTACTTAAATATACCAGAGTTGAACCTTCGATACCAGCTGGGATTACTTTACTTCACTCACTCTTCATTTCACAGTCAGCATCTGACATAAAGAGAAATTGGAACAGGGCCCTCACACAGCATTTACAGTTTTTTTGTTTTTTTAATTAAAAGATCATTTTATTAGGGGCTCTTATAACAATCCATCCATCAAGTGTATCAAGCATATTTGTACATATGTCACCATCATTATTTTTTAAACATTTATTTCTATAGAGCCCTTGGTATCAGTTCCCCCCACCTACCCCCTTGGGACCCCTTGATAAATTTTTGTTATATTCCTATCTTACACTGACTGCTGTCCCTCTCCCACCACCACCCCCAGCCCTGTTTCTGTGGTTGACTCTGGGGGAGGTGGGGGGGGTTATGTTGATCATCACAATCAGTTCCCCTTTCCTCCCCTCCTCTCCCCATCTTCCCCCTACCCTCCTGGTATCGCTACAACCATTCCTGTTCCTGGATTCCTTGAGTTGTGAGCTCTTCCCTCTTATCTATACATGTGTACATGCTCTGCTCTAGTCAGCAATGTAGGGCTGGGGTCATGATAGTAGGGGGTGAGGAAGCCTCAGGAACCAGAGGAATATTGTGTGCTTCATCACTGCAATGATGTGCCTTGGTTGACTCATCCCTTCTTTGTGACCCTTCTGTGAGGGGATGTCCCCATTGTCTACAAATGGGTTTTGCGTCTCTGCTTTGACAGCCCTTTTTCTCAACCATAGGGTTTGTGTGTGTGTGTTTCGGGTCTTCTGATGCCTGTTACCTGATCCTATTGACACCTAATGATCATACAGGCTGGTGTGCTTCTTCCATGTGTGTTTGTTGTTTCTCTGCTAGATGGCCACTTGTTTCACTTCAAGCTTTGAAGACCCCAGACTCTCTATCTTCTTAATAGCCGGGCACCATCAACTTTCTTCACCAATTTATGCACCCATTTTGAGCAATTGTGCTGGGAGGATGAGCATCACAGAATGCTGGTTTGTTATAACAAAGTGTTCTTGCATGAGCAGAAGCCCAAAGCCCATCCACTACTTCAGGGTATTGCCATATAAACATATGTACATAGGCCAATACCTCTATTTTTTATGAGTTAATGTATTTACATCTGTATACACCTAGCTTCTATCTCTATCCATAGCTTTGCTTCCTATGTCTTTCCTCTGTTTCCTTTAACCTTCCTCCAGCCCCACTATCACGCTCGCCCTTCTTCCGCCTATTAATATTCCTCTCAGCTATAATGCTGTTGCTCCAACACATCCAGGATCTCATCCTCCTCATTGTTGATTTTAACTCCTTAGTTGTTCCCCAGTCTATGGTGTTTACTCACCACCCCTTCCCCCGCCTCTTTCTCCCCTGAAGTCCCTCTGGAACCATCAGTCCTGTTGCTTTCTCGGGCTTGCTTCCCATGCCTATCTTATGTAAGTAGGCAAACCAGCAATAACAGAGACCAAACAAAAAGAAAACAAAAGATTGAATAAAAGAGGAAAAAATTAATAATAACTAGTAATTAAAACAAAGTTTTCAATAATAGGAACAGGAAAAATTAGACAAACTGCAAAGAGGTATAGCTAAATATCAAATGCTGGCTAATGCCACAGATGCCCCCAGA